TAGGCGGGCATAAAGATGCACCTGTTTCATAATWATGATTTGAATAAAATAAAAGAAATYACTTTGCACTGGGCTTTATGTTAGCTCCTCCCATTCACGTTCATAACAACCAATCAAATTCGTCACTTTTAATTCCTATTGGTCAAATAATATCACGTGGGTGGAGTGCAAAAATGTACTTTAAGTGCCATCAAATTTATCTATTTACTAATCAATCTTCCTAACAACAATCAATAATGTCATAATGATATTTTTACGACTCAATCTCGATGATGTCGTAATTAATTGTTTGTTAATTATTTTTTTGACTTACCCTAAGCGCCATTGGRTTATTTGAATAGTCGACAGGTTGACACCTGAAGCTGTAACTCCCCCACCACCCACTCATCAAGTACTGTAACGAAAAATTAAGATAATYACTTAATTGGCTACGTTCTAAAAACTCATTGTAAACTCACCTCGTAAAATATCCATGCGCTGAATAGAGTTTGAAATAAATTATAAAAAATTAAAGTCTTTCTTAAATTAAACGGTTTCCTATTTTCCATTAATCGGGGTCCTAGGACCGTCGAAAAGTACGCATAAAATAGACAAATGCACAACGTTGGCATAGGACTAGACATCATGGCCCATCCTTTCACCCTCGGGTCTGAAACGAAAATTTTCAATTAGAGTGATTACAATATTCATAATCATTGGTGGGCTGATGACCAATGCCACATCTGGGTGATATCAATTGGACGAAGATTCGTCGATTGTAATAAGGAAATGTGTAACAAACGCCTTCCCACCAAAAACAAGGTCATGGCTATTTTAGTGAATTGAATCGAGGTTCGATTTTATTTTTAAGTAAAATGTGAAATGCATGACTCGACTGCTCAAAACGGTTTCGACTTTTACTGCTAGTTCCTGTTCAAATACTTGCACGTTTCCGGTGCACCGATTATCACCGAGACAACTGTCGAAATACAGACAGGCTCTCGTTATCAGGTTTTTTTGACTTCCGGTTCATTTTGATTCATATCGTGTCGCAGCATTGGCGAATTTACTTCCTTTTTGAACCAGAGTTGGGAAAAAATTGTGGAAATGACAAGGTTAAGAGGAATCATCGAGGATGAAAATTTCAAAAAAAATTAATTACTGTAATTAGCGAAATCAGGAAGTTTTATTTTATTGTTTTGCCAATTGAAAAGTATCATACTAAAATTGTTTCGGACAGGTGAATGAGTCATTTTAATAAATTTGAATCTAATTAACTTTGGACTATAAATCCAGATTGGTTTATTTATGTTATAGACAAACGTTCGGAGTATTATGTGGTTAGCTGGTAAAATGACAGTCACAAATTTACATTTTTCACATTTTTAACGGCGGAAGTGACCCTAATTTTTGACAGCATACAGAACTATATTAAAAATCAAGTTTGCCGTGATATTTGTGTTAGAAATGTCAACCTACCTCAATTTACTGTGCTTATATACTCTTTTTCATATTAATGTGCATCAAGTAGGTTGTAGAAGTCTAAATGCATCTTTAACTTAAAGGCTGATTCACACAAAAAGTGTCATTAATGTCATTCAGAACAAATTTAATCACATCAATAATGACAAAAATCTTTATGTTTGCTATCCTATGTTAATTACGTTGTTGATTTTAATTAYTTTTTACTACATTTATTTGAAAAAAATATTTGTGGGGAAAATTGAGGTTAAGKTTGTTGGAATTTTTGCATAGTTGCCACCTTAAAGTGATCCCTTTCAACGACTACTTCGATGCACATTAATATGAAACCGAGTCAAAATCATCTTGTGCTTATCTGACGTTAACATCGCGATGATAAGCTTCAAATCAAATGTCTTTTATTTGGCATGATTTTTTAAAATATTATTACGGGTTTTCTATGCAAATAAGGGCCAGTTTCATTATCGAATTAAAGAGACTTTACGTTAAAAAATTTACTTCTTTCTGTGTGAGAAGTTGGTGTTGAGGTTTTAACATTATAAAGTAATTTTTGGAAAAAAAAAGATCATGCATTTTTGACATTTGTACAAAGCCAACTATGACTTACAGATAACATGATTTGTATGTAATTTTATATTGTTTCCTTGATTTCATCAATATGAAAAGAATGCTTAATTTTTAGGCAGAATCAATTAAGAAGATGTGAATTAATTATGTAGAATAATTCAAAAAGCAGTAAAAAACAAGCTGATTAATTTTATAAAGTTGAACAAAAATAAAACAACCGGTAATAATATGTATGTAAATAAACTGTCTATTAAGTTGAAAAAAAAGTAAGTTATTTTGATGGGAAAATATTGTCAGCCTTTTAAAGTTGCATTTGAGTAAATTCATTAATTTTGCTGGATTATTCAAAATATTTGGAACCATACAACATTTATTAAACTGCTTAATTTACATTTTTCAGTAAAATTATTAAATTTATTCCAGAATTTTATGAATTATTGAAAAAAAAAAATTGATACTGAAAACACGTGTTTTAATTTGCCAAATTAATGAAATGATGACAAAAGAGAAATAAATAGCTTATTCAGCACCAACTTAACAAATAAAACTACGATAACCTGACCCTGACTTCTCATTAATTAAGCTAAAAAATCACATACCTACCAGCTAAACGACTTGTTTTTAATGCAAAATATATTTCACCCTTGAGTAAAAATTAGTGCAAGGTCTCTTAGAAAATAGAGAATTTTGTCTAAATATTTTGATCCAACTTGCAATATTTTTAATTCTGTATTAATTGTTTACTAACAAAGAATTTCGCAAAATTTCACCTTGATTTTTTTTGATTTGTAGTTTTAATTAAAATTATTTTCAATAGACAGGTTGATCAGCAAAACCTTCAAATTAGCATTTTATCACAAGTTTTTGCACTGTTTTATTCAACGTTTTTTCTACAACAGACTAATTTTAAAACGCACCTTACATAATTATTTATCAGGAAGACAAAATACATAAACACGTAACAATAATTAGTGTAAGAGTTGTCCTAGAGCATATAAATATTTATGTGAAATTACGATATTTCAGTGTTAAAGTACGATTAAAATGGCCTTTGAATAAAACAACCACATTCTGGGATGAAGTGTGAACAAATAATATTTATGTCGGTTTTTTGTCCTAAAGAGTCACATATAAAAAGTGTATTTGTGGCACAACTTACGAAAGTGTTTTACGTTTACAAACAAATAAAACCGCTGACTGTAAGTAAATATTTACCTTTCATAATATCCCGTGCAAATATATTATGGAATTCAATATCTATTATTTAATGCCAGTAATAAACAAATATTTCTCAACTTAAAAATAATGGAAATCGTAACACTGCTACAAACTTTTTATTTAAGAAAAGCCCGACAACAATAAGCCAGAAGTTTAGAAAGCATGCATTTCCTGTCAACTACAATCACTTTCACTGTTTTAATTGAAGCAGAAATGAAGTAATTGCCAGTTTTTCATTACCAAATTCGCTCCTTGGCGAAAATGTCAATGTCAGAAAACTCAGAGACCTCCAAAATTAACTCCCGACCTTTCTTAATCAGTTACATAAGAACAAGAGCAGACGAAGAAAGTGAAAAGCTATATTCAGGTCGAAAGATGAAAGTTCTTGAGAAATATATATTGACTCACGACCGGTTGCGGTATCTTTGCGTTTTATGTAACATTTTCTGGAATAAAATTACATAAAAGTCGAAATACTCACCACTTTTGTTTTCTAGAATGTCCTCATATTTGTCGATGACGCTTGTCACGAGATGAGCCATCTTGGAGTCTGTAAAAATAACAATCAATTAATTCAAAATCTGCATTGTTTCGCCGAAAAAATTCCAAACAAAACAATTATTATTGAGAAGTACGTAGTCAAACGTGATTATGACTTGTTTTACGTCTGTTTTGGCATCGATGCAGATGTTCTAAATTTACTAATTTATGGAGGCATTTGTAACTAACTTTACGTCAGTTCTAATCAATTTATTGTAATTGAAGATGAAATATGTTGCCATAGCTTGAGGAATTTCTCGAGCTTGTTATCCTTGTACGACGTTATTATTACACCTCAAATGCAAGGAAATAATATTTTCATAGTGAAGGATGTTATGAGTGTCGCACTTTGATACCATAAAATTCCTCCAATCATTTTGATAAATTAGTAATTTTTATTTGTGTAAACCACGTGATTTCAAAAAATTAATTCAAGATGAAGGATATTTGCGTCAGCTATAAATTACTACTTAGTGGAATCTAATTGATTTTTTAATAACGYAGTTATGTTATAAAAATTGGCATTTTTTATTGCATACCAGTCTGCAATTTTTGTCAATGACATTTTTAGATGTCTAAATTAAAATATTTCTGCATAGAATCACCAGAAGTTCATTACCAAACAATTGGATTGTTTTTCTGGGTCGAAAAATTCGGCACACATGATTTTAATAATGAAAATATTGTAATAAGAGCACCTAGTATTGCTCATCAAAAATCCCTTATCAGATAATCCTCATGATACGCCAGAATTACAAAAAATGCAAATAACCTTGCATTGGCATTAAGAAAAGTTCCAGTAGACGTTTCCACGATCGTTGAAATTTTTCTTTGTTAAGAAAATAGCAAGAGGTCAATGGGTACACCTAGTTTCTTTTCCTTTTAACATGAACGCCACGTCCAGTATGTATTGAGGCCGTTACCTAAAATGTTGGAGTAATGTTGTTTGCACTGACAACAATGTCGAGTGTTAAATACCCTACATACGTCATTTTTGGGGATTGAACCAGCCTCCACAATTCAAAGATTTTGCTTATCGCATGTGATCAACTGATTTTACGTAACAGAGAAATTGCGAGATAATGATTTCCTCGTTTCCATTAAGATAATGGACACTTCATGCAAGTTGCATTTTTTCACGCCAAGAATGAGTAAAAAATAATTTTGCTTCCTTACTGCATAATGTATCATAAAAACAGTCAAATTTTCATTAATTTAGAATAAGTATACCAATTGTAGAGTTTATTACACAATTTGTTACAATGAGTGAACACTGAGATTGCATTAAAATAACAACTTATTCCGTTTTTACTACTGACAATGGCTCAGAATAGTGACAAAATACCAAACTGTGAAAACAAAACTTACAAAAATCAACAACAYTGAATTGGGACTATGTTTTTCTAAATTTGTCAAACATTTTACAAAAAGAAAAATAAGAAAACAGTAATYAAAAATAAAGCTGGAAGCCACATATACGCCTGAGTATATTCTGCCCTTTTATATCAAAAAAATTCAAAAATGACTCAACTAATCGGAAACAAGTAATTGAAATTTGTAACTTTATAATTTTTATATACAAATTGGATACATAGAATATAGAACTAAATATTAATTACGCAATTTTTTCTAAATATTTTGACTGATTGTTTACAAAATTTTGTATTACGTAGTAATTATTATTATTGTCAATAAGATAAGTAAATAAAGAGCATTGTAAACACCTTTCATAAAATTGTATCCTTCTTCGCCTTTTAATCCAAATGTGTAAAGAAAAAAATGCTCGTTTCTAAATTAATTTGACCCCTAATGCTATACAGAAAAAATCAATTTAATCTTGTATTTCCACAATAAATGAAGGTAGAAATATTAAAAATAATATAAATTGCAAAGGATTCACCCTTTTTAGCGACCGAAAAAATTTAGCAAAAATTCGATAAAAGCGATTCAGATAAAAGCAAGAATCAAAAATTAATAATTTTCATTACTACAAAGAATGTCAAGGCAAAATGGCAACATCGCTTTAGCCACCAAAAGTCCTTATTTTTCTAAAATTTTATTCAAAAACACAAACTGTGTAACAAACTTTCACTAAATTAATTACAACTACGAATAAAAATATTGATAAAACCGCAAAATTAATGTCTATCCCCATTTTATAAAAATTTGACTGTTGCATCCTGAGTTTTAACGCCATTTTAATTATTATTCCTTTGAAAATGACAGTAACTAAAACAACTCTATTTAGCAGGTTTTATCAGTTGCCAATTTTACCATAAAAATAAACCCATAAAAATAAATGTCATTTTGTGGCTTCTTTCAGGTCATAAATGCGGAAGAATGTAAAATTTAAATTAGGGTTAAAAGATCCTCGATGAGTTTACTAACAATTCGACCCACTGAATCCATTGTTGTTTAATTAACGTTTTCCTATTGTGATAAATTTTCATTTTGTATCGGAAACTTCATAAAATGAATGAGGAAGTGAATCACGCCTCCAAAAATAAGCCGGTATTGGCTTCCCAAGTAAGGTTAAGACTCAAAACGCCCCAATGTTTTATTTAGAATCTTAGAATCAAGTCGGCACATTTCATTCAACGACTTTTCATTTGACAGTTACATAACCTTAACTGCATCTGTCATATGTAAGTGTCTTGCTGTTAAATGGGTCGATTATGTAAAATGGGCCGATTTGAGGGTGTGTCAATTAGTAAAAATCACCGAAACAAAGAAACAGACTCACCTTTATCAAAATAATCAATAAAACACCACTAAAATGTTTGTCAGGACACCGATAGATTTTTTACACAAAATTATAACCGGTAAAGTTGCAATTKTGTCCAAAGTGTTTTTTTTTAACGAAGGTTTATCACTGGTTTGAACACATAGTTGTCGCTTTTCCCGGTGGATTTTCTTTCGATTTTATAAGGTTTAGGCGTGCCGATGGTGTCAGAGAGACATGAGACAACCAACCACACTCTCAATCTCTCTCAACTAGCGAACTTCGTGTATCTGGGCTAGGGAATCCGATGGTAGCTTTCGGTTATATATAGCTTACGCAGGCGAACGTCACCGGTCTTTACCGATTTACACTGTTCGATGATAAAGCCGGGTTTACAACGTGGAATTACCGCTAATAATGGCGTCGAAATGGGCGCGTTTTGGTTTTTTTATCATTTATTGAGGGACTAGTTTGTTAGGTCTGTAGAGTGGTTTTCCAAATTGGAATTTTTGGGACTAATTATGTTCTACTTGTTTAGAACGAACGGAAATTTTAACAAAAATCGGACAAAACACTTAAATCTCGTTTTGTAAACAATCTACAGTAGTATTGCAGAGAAAAATTAAAAAAAAAAAATTCGCACCTACTATTTATGAATACATTCATACATACAGGTGATTTAAAAGTGTCAGACCAACTCTCGAATTGTGATACATGACTTTCAGCTAAGCATAGAAATGAATGCAGATTTTTTTCAAGATTTGATTTCTGAGAAAAAAAGTACTGGCAGAACTGACAATTTCCATATTATCACGAAGGCACCTTAGCTCTTTAGTTTCTGATTTTGTCGGATTGAATTTATTCTGTTTTATGTTGCATAATGTTGTATAAAAAAAGACCTAGTCAAAATAAAAAACGTTAATAGTAACCATCAAGAACGGTAAGGACATTTTACCGATCGAAGACAATTGAGAAGAAAAGAGACGACTCCAATTGTTGTATGTTTACTTTAAAAATGCTACGCAACGATGCAATAAAATATAGGGTGTTTTATTTGAAAAAGTGGAGTTATAGCCATTTGTAATTCGTCATTTACAAAAAATCGTAGTAGGCGATGGAACATCTCCGAGACTCCGAGTCTCAGAAAATGCGCTAAAGCTTAAGGAATCGACTGGAAAAAAGTTGGTTAAATTATCTTGAATGGTTCTGAAATTATGAATTTTTCTGTAGCTTTATGCACGACGCTATTTTGACACATAAATTAACATGAGTCAAAAACTTGCAGATAAGTCTAAAAAAGAGAATGTGTTATATTGACAATTTAGTGGCGAATTCAAAAATTTAACGTCAATTGGGGGTTTTTATTTAAAAAAACAGAACTTAGTTATGAAACTTATTGTGGGACATCTTGTATTATCTAAATAAAAATATTTTTGAAATGTGATTCATTATCGGCCCTACCATTAAAAAAAAAATCAAGTCGATAGCTTGGATAGAAAAGAAGTTATAGAGCTTGCACGCACCCCTGGGTCATCCTGTACATAATGTCGTAAAGAATCGAGTGGATCGAGTAATACTTTAAAAATTCTATTTTTTTTTCTGTAATTTCTGTAATTTGTTCATAAAACCTTTTATTTAAATATGTAATTACTTTTTAAGGGATGTTTTTTTTTTAATTTATACAGAAAATAAACCTCGTACAAAGGAACAAATGTGCTATGTCATAGAAACTTTTTCACTTTACCCACTTGGTAATTCTAGTTGGAAGTACTATTATTCGGACGCACTTATACATGTATTACAAGACCAAAAAAGTATTGTGTTAAAATGGTTTCAAATGAAATATTTAACAACGAATGTTTTAATCTAGGTAAGTAAGAGAAAGTATAATAAAATAATTTTTGTAAATAACTAAAGAAGTAAATGCTTCTACGAAGAATTAATAAACGCTTTACAAATGAAATAGTAACAGATAAATAAAATAAGTCCTGCTCTGGCTAAAAAATAAGTAATTATTTCCGTGGTAGCTAAAGCTCCAATTAAAAAAGATGCTACTTGCTATTTCTGAAAATGATAAGCTAAAGCTACTGAAATATCAGATGTAGCTTATCTTAGACTAGCTTTTTWAAAAGTTTATAAACACATTTTTAAAAATTAGCGATGGTGACCTCGGGACTTTTTTGCAAGTCTGCAACGAGTTTTATAATAAATTACTTGTTTATAATTCCGAGTTCTGTAAAAATATGCTCTAATTTATTTTTAAACATTTACTCATATATTTTTTTATTTTTGAACTTTGTGTAAAGAACATTGATTTTTTATTCATTTGAATTTCTACTATAGGTATTATTGACAGTGATGACATTTCAATAAATATGTACAAAATGCTAAACCGCATGATTCATCATTATTCATTGATTATTGTTTTCTAGCTTATCGCCAAGTTTAAGTTGGAAATTTAAGTTTAATTTTAACAAATTCACTAATTTTGTTTTTATCAAATTTTAAAGAAAACATGACTAAAAAATTATTTTTTTGTCGTGGAGAAAGAATTACTTTAAATAGAACGAGATTGATGGTTTTATGTAATTTTTAAGTACTTACTTTTAATTATAAATTTTCTACTACTATCGTAAAAGCATTTTACTATAAAAGCCTGAGGATATTTTGTGGCCCCAAAATGCGTCATTTGGATTACATAAAGCGCAATCATTTGTACTCACAATAAATGACGGAAATGCATTTACTTTTTTAATTTTAATAAAAACGCTGCAATATGCTGGAGGTTGTGGAAAATGTCTGGAAAATTTATTTTGTGGGGTCGACAGTCTAAAACTCGTACTTATTATTTTCTTCAAGGTTGCAATTTATTATGTTCTCATATATTATAATAATTATTTTAATGATGGAATCTTGTAATTAGTTCCTGATCAATAAAAATATTAGTTGACTGATATTTCTTAACATTTGTCGTAACAATCAAAAGAGCATTACACGTATTATTTTATTAATAAAAAATTGATCTCGAAAATTCCAGCTTCTGTGTAATAATAATGTTACCTTTCACTCGGTATTTGGCGGTAGTGTTATCCAACTTGATTCATTCTCGATAATTACCTGACTTAATTTTTTTCTAAATTACTTGCAAGTCTCAAATTTAATTCTTTATACTGTTGTGATGTGATGAAAATCCCTTCGGATGTTTTTGTCGGTTTTGACATTTGAACCATTACTGAGCTTAGCTACCTGCATAATTATTATGTAATTAAACTACATTTATTTTTCATTCTAGAATTTTCTATGGCAAAGAAAGTGAAATTCTCATCTGTGGCAAAGACATTAGTCTAAATTTGTAGGACGATAGAAAATTATTTCAGGGAAGTTTAAACTCTGATTTAACAATTTTGCAATATTTCTTAAACATTTTTTATAAATAATTAAAAATTATTGTGTGCACAAATCAAGATCTGTTTTAAATGTGAAACAATTGGCAATTAAAATGAAATATTTTATTTAATTGCAAGTATTTTGCTTTTTTGTGTTTTTGAAATCAATTCACCAGTGTTTAATTTCATTCTATTTTAACAATTTATGTAAACTGATTCAAAAATTTGTTTGTCATTTTTATAACTAATTAAAAGTTATTGTGTGCACAAATCAAGACTTTTGAAATGTGAAACAATGGGTAATTCATTAAATTTTGTATTGCAAAAATAATCTAGTTTTTTGATTTTTTCGATATTAAAAAAAAAWAATTTAAAAGTTTTTAATATCGTTCGATTTATTAAATAATTTTTATATATTTTTTAAATTACTTCGGATTTAATATATACACATTTTTTTTAAACTTTCAATTATGCTCAATTTTCCCAGTTATTTTGGTAAATTCATTGTCCCTGAATTATTGTTAATTCGCAAAAGCATTCAAGAAAGTGGTCAACAGGAACTCAATTGTTTGTCTAATATTTCTAACGAATTTTAATATTATTATAATAATAATAAAATATTACAGTAAAATGACAATTACTAGGAAACAGTGGTTTCCGTATAATAATAAAACCAAGACTTGAAACAGAAATTGAATTTTAATGTTTGTCAATGTGTTCTGAATTTTTAACTTCTAAGAATATGAAAAAGTTGGTTTATCACTGCTATTACTTTATTTCAAGGACACTTTTGTAATATTATTCAACTTACTTAATTTTTTATTTTGGCTTTAGAGTTATTATTTCCAAATTTTTTCTAATTAGGGAACTCCAAAATTGAACAATTCAAAGTGTTTTCCAATAATTTTAAATTGTTCATAATGTTTTTCAGCTAGAGAAGGTCATTTGAATAACGTTGCAACGAAAGGTTAAAGACTTGGATGCATCGGAAATCTCGGGCTTTTATTTTTTCAGTGTTGAGGGTTACAAACTTATTTCAAACAAAACAAAACTGATTAAAGCAGCATTTCATTTTGCACACAATGAGTGAATTTTAATGCAACTTGGACTTCTTACGTAAATGCATTTTTTACTTATGATTCAGATATTTCAAACAGTATTCTTCTGTCCCAAAAAACGGTTACGTAGGTGTTGTTAAAACTGATTTTATTTTTTCTAATTACTGTTGCTTATTATTTAATATTCTCCTTGGGACATGTTGTTTTTTCTAAAATTTTACCCAAAAACTATTAGTGCGACAAAAATCAAAATTCGGAATTTTCCAAATACTGAAATTCCGGTACTATTCCACCATATTGTTTTGAACCATACATCACAGTTTAAAAAACCGGTCTTTGAATAGTAGATTTCCATAAGTAAATAATTAATATGCGGTATGAATGATTAAATTAGCCAAAAAATTGCTGTATATCATTTTCGTTTTATTTTTATGCGAATTGCGAGATCGTCCAGTGAAAGTGACTTTTTTCTTAATATTTCTAACTCGATGGGTGAAAGTCATCCAGGAAAAAGTCAAACTCTTTGGTCTAGAACGAATATTTATATTTTCGTTCAAAAACTGTGTCATAACGATGATTATTGCATAATTGTTCAGTCTAGAACAAATTTGGCCGTGTGTAACCAACTACCCGGATTTTTAGAAAGTCCAGGGAATTATTTAACTTTCTTATATGTTTTTGCGTCCTCAAATTGTTATTGTTTTAATTGCTGGTAAAGATGAATTGCATAATATCGTAAATATGTGCCTTCATCGACAAAAATTTCAAGTTGAAGTTCAAGGTAGTGAAAGAAGGCTCGTGTTTTATCTACAAATATTTACAATCAATATAGTGCTGAGAAAGTATGTGTGGACTATTTGGAGGT